AATCAACTTTGTCTTGAAAACTCCATGCCATAGTATGAGATACTTACACTATAGAAATTATAAAAACTCAACAATTTTTTTAAAAATTTGTTTATTTTACTCTGAATTTAAGAAATAAAGCAAGCATTTTCATAACGTAGTAGAATAGGACAAAAAAGATTGTACATGAAACTACAAAACTGTTATGTACTACTTGCTATTCCTTTTAAATATATAATAAAATTATCATGTAACTTTCTTTTGTTTTCTCTTTTTTTCTCCTTGTTTCTCTGCCCTGCCAGAGGTGGCTACCATTAGACACAGATATGTGTGTGTGTGTGTGTGTGTGTGTGTGTGTGTGTACACCATTCTATACATCTATTTATCCGTTCTTTCTCTGGATGCAGATAGCGTCTTCCTTCATATGTCCTTTATAGTTCATTTCAATTGCTTTATTTTGGTTCTTTAACCCAATAACCTAATATTTTTAAGGCTTGCACAAAATTTCAGCTTTTGGTATTGAGTCATTTCAGTTGTGTCCAACTCTCTGTGACCCCATTTGAAGTTTTCTTGGCAAAGATCCTAGAGTGGTTTGCCATTTCATTTTCCAGCTCATTACACAGATGAGGAAACTGAGGCAAATAGGGTTAAATGATTTGCCCAGGGTCACATACCTACATCTGTGTAATAGACATTCACTCAAAGACTAAATGCACATCCACTGCATTCAGAGTAAAACAAAATCACCTATGTCACTTCCTCTGACTACTTAATTTTCATTCCCACACACTCGTTCACTTTATGTATTAGATCAGTAATCTCTTAGGTCAGGGGATCCCTTTCTTTGAGAAAGATCTCAATTTCTCTATGCCTTCCCATCCCATGTGATAATTATCTGTGTATTCCTAAGTCCTCTGCAGAGCATCTGCCCAACATCCTGAAGGCCTTCGTTTGATTCTTTTATTATATCAGGCATGCCAGTGTTGCACTCAGATCTTCTGTCTGTCGTGGATGGTCTGTTTACCTTCTTTTTATACATGTTTTTGATATAGAGGGGGAAGTTAGGTAGCACAGTGGATAGAACACTAGACCTGGAGTCAGGAGGACCTGAGTTCAAATCCAGCCCCAGATGCTTGGCACTTACTAGCTGTGTGACCCTGGACAAGTCATTTAACTCTGTCTCAGTTTCTTTATCTGTGAAATGAGCTAGAGAAGGAAATGGCAAACCACTCCAGTATCTTTGCTAAGAAAACCCCAAATGGGGTCATGAAGAGTCAGGCACAACTGAAATAACTGAACAACAACAAATTGATATGAAGAGATGTCATGAGGTTTCAGATAGTCACTAAATATTTATTAAGTGGCTACTATATGCCAAGTACTGCGGATACAATGGAAGGTAAAAGATATTTCCTCATCTCTTGAAAAACACAGTCTAACAGAGGAGAAAACATGCAAACAACTATGTTCAAACAAGCCATATTCAGGATAAATAAGAAATGATCAACAGAGGGGAAGCACTAGAATTGAAGGGGGTAAGGGAAGGCTTTCTGGGATAATGTGTTGGACTTGGAGTCAGAAAGACCAGATAAAGATGTAGACAACTTATATGAGTACACAGAGGTGAGAAATTGTAGGATGTGATAAGGGAATAGCTAATTGTCTAGTTCAGCTAGAATAGAGAGTATATGGAGGAAAACAATATTGGAGATGAGATTGGAATGAAATGGTGAGAAGCCTTAAATGCTCTGCTAAAGATTGTTTTAACTAAGGGCAATCAGGAGCCACTGAGGTTTTAAAAGCAGATGATAACATGGGATTATTTTTGTAGTTGTGTGAATGATGGATGGACTGGAGAGACTGGGTAGTGAGACTAGTAAGGAAACTCTTCTGAGAGTGCTGATGATAAGGATGTGAACCAGGGTGATGACAATAAATGTGGTAGAGAGGTGGAAGAATTTAATAGGACTTGATTAGTGGGGGAGGGGGGGAGAGAGAGAAAGTTGGTAGTTCTAAAAATAGAAATAGGAAAGTTTGAAGAAGTAGCAGATTTAAGGGTGAGATTATGGGCTCAACTTTGTACATGTTGAGTTAGAGGTGACAATAATACCTCTGAGTGGAGATATCCAGTAAACAATTGGAGATTTGGAGCTAGAGCTCAAAGGAGAGATTGGGATAGGAGTCACTTTCAGGAGAGTGATAACTGAATCTGTAAGTAATGGTTCTTATGTAATGTTTTATTTAAAGACCAACTCAAAAGAGTTGAGCCATGTCCCAGGGCCTCATTTTCACCATTGTTGAAACCCAGATTGAGTCAAAGAATAGCAAAGTATCACCTTATGTTATTGTTGTTCATTTGTATCCAACTCTTTGTGATTTTATTTGGGATTTTCTTGGCAAAGATATTGGAACAATTTACCATTTCCTTCTCCAGCTCATTTTATAGATAAGGAAACTGAGGCAAACAGGGTTAAGTGACTTACCAAGGTCATAGAGTTAGTAAGTGTCTGAGGCTGGATTTGAATTCTGGAAGATGAGTCTTCCTGACTTCAGGCTCAGCACCATATCCACTGCACCAGCTAGCGGCCCATCACTTTCATATATTCCAACAATTAGATATCTAGCGATGGTTAAATAATATGGTTCTGATAGTCACACATGTGGCTAACAGAACTGATTACACATCATGAATCAAATTACAGCCATTGATCTGATCTTTTAAGAACACCATCTGTAGCCTCTCTCCACCACACCCCCAAGGTAATGATATGGGCAATGAGACCCCCCTTGTTTGTTCTGATTTATGTTTGCCCTAGTAATTATTCTATAGCTGTCCTATAACATACATGGAGCTTACTCAGATGACCCTATAAAAAGCCATAACTAAGAAAAGAAAGTTTGGGTCATCAGCTTCAGCTTCTGTCTCAGGTGATATTTCCCTGTTGATGGGAATTCCTTGCATACCTCATGATTGAGAAAGTCTGGGGAACAGGGTGATTGTGTGACTGGCAGTTTGAATCCCCGTCTATCTTTACTATTGCAATTTTTTTTTCAACAAAGAAAGAAAGAACCTGATCAACTCACCTGAGATAGGAGAGAGGGTGAAATCACCAAGCAAGAGAGGATAAAGAGATAATATGAGAAGAAGACAGGAGAGGGGAGAGGAGGGAAGAGAAAGGAAAAGGAAAAGGGAAAGAGAAGGGAAGGCATGGTCTTGGGAGACATCTACCCTTTAGTGTTGGGAGGCAGCAGAATAATAGGCTGGACTGACCTTCCCCCTCCCCAGAAAGTCTTGTTACAACAAGCATTCATTCTAGGAGTGCAGATGCTATTAGTGGCCTTACTTGTTTATGTCCTGGGCCAAATTTTTACCCTTTGGCAAATCTCCTTAGTTAAGGCTCTATTCCTAAATTGGCAACAGGGTTTTTCAGTAGCTCCTGAAGCCCCTCTTATCTTTCCAGTCTTCCCACACTTTTCTCCCCTACACTTACTCTTTGACACGTATTCTTTGATCCAGTGACACTGGCCTCTACACTGTTCCATGAACAAGACATTCCATCTCCTGGCTTTGGGCATTCTCTCTGGCTGGCCTTCATGCCTGGAATGCTCTCTTTCCCTGGCTTCCTTTTAGTCCCAAGTAAAACCACATCTTCTCCTGGAATCTGTCCCCAACCCCTTTTAATGCCAGTGTCTTCCCTCTGTGAATTATTTTCTATTTATCCTGTATATAGCTTGCTTTGTATATATTTGTTTGCATGTTGTCTCCCCCATTAGATTGTAAGCTCCTTGAGGGCAGGGACTGTCTTTTGCTTTTTTTTTTTTTTTGTATTCACAGTTCTTAGAACAGTGCCTGGCACATACTAGGCACTTAATAAATGTTTACGATTGATTGATTTACCAAATTATAAAGGAGTTGTGACCTGTTTCTTTGTATCACTGCATATTTTCTAGGCCTTTCCCTTCATCTCATTACCCTCAAAGTTCAAGAGCTTCTTTCAAATGCCAACCACTTTAATTTCTGGGGCTTCCTATAGAAGGCTTTACCTAGCCTCTTATAAATTGTTCAAAAGCAGTGCCTTTTTTTTTTAAACCAGAAATCTCTGCTGCCCCACAGTTTTTACTTTTAAAAAAAAGTTTTAAATTTAAAAAAAATTTATTTTTATTTATTTTTATTATTTTTAAGAGAGTTTTTACTTTTAAAATACATATCTGAACATATATTGAGCACATCTAAATATCTACAGAGTAACCAGTGGTATCTGTTTTAGAACCATTTGCTGTGCAAATACTTCATAAAATTCATATGAAAGAATATAGCTAAATAAATAGGAAATTAATTATAAGTTATATTTATGTATAGATCATGCATACCAAGAGAGGACTTTGCAGTTTGTTTGTAACTGTGATTTATACATCTTCGATGAGCTTCTCAAGTGTCTTCTGGGCTACCATTCAGCTCATAGTGACTATCTTAAAATAAGAAATGCTTGTTGAGGCAAGGTTTTTTTTTTTTTTTTCTTGAGATAGTATCACACCTATTGCTTTGCCACCATTTCATCTTCTTTCCATGTTTTATGGATGAATCAACTTCAGTTATGATAATCTGAGACAGTGCCTGGCACTAGTTAGCCAGGGGAAGGTCAACTATTTTTGATCACTTACGATCCTGATCCTTTCTGTCCCCTCTCCTCCCCCTAGATGCTCCTCAATTAATGTCTTAAAATAGCAGGTCATTCTCAGCTGCCAGACTGGAGTCTGCCCAGGGGAGAGGAAAACATCAACTGCTCGAGTATAGGAGAAAAGTGACCAAAGACAAGAAAAGATTGTGACTGTCTACAAGAAAATAGCTACTTTTTAAAATTTCTACTTTTCTACAAGAAAAGTACATTGTGCTTCCTTGGAGAGGAAAAAAAGGATCTCTTTCTTCTACATAGGTGCATTGCTCCTGTCTTATTGAGCATCAGGGTTTTGTAAAGGATTTAATTTTTTTTTTTTGGAAAACCAAAACCAGTAGCTTAGCGATGAAACGGAACATTGCGGTCTTCTTTGGAGCCCTTTTTGGTGCCCTAGGAGTTCTGCTCTTTTTGGTGGCTTTCGGGTCAGATTATTGGCTGCTTGTGACTGAAGTTGGGAAATGTTCAGGTGAACATAATGTGCGTTTTGTTTTCTTCTTCAGAATAATGATTTATTTTGTAGTCTCTAGTATATGTTTTTCCCTCCTCTTGTGGGTGTGGGTGAGAATAGTGGGTCTAATGCTTGAATTCCTACGTTCAAGAGATGTGATAATGTTAAATACAAGTTTATCAGTCAGCATTAGAAATATTTTTATTTCTTTTTTAAATGACTGACTGTGACTAGGTTGGTTGCTCTCTATCTAATAATATGTTTTTTGTGTTTTGGGCAGGTAGAGAATGTCACTTTCCACCATGAAGGTTTCTTTTGGAGATGTTGGTTTAGTGGCATTGCTGAGGAAAACACAGCCAACATTTGGAAATTCTGGTACAGTAAGTGAGATTTAACTTCATTTTTGTTGTTATTAAAAAGATGAACAACTTTAATGTGTAGCAACATAAACATTTCACTGAGTTATTATAGCATCTGAAGTAATTGCCTTTCCAATACTTTGGGGGGATAGTTTTTTTGGCCAATACAGTTGTATTGTCTGGAAAATAATTTTTTAGGGTGTGTGTGTGTGTGTGTGTGTGTGCGCGTGTGCGAGTGCATGTGCACGTGCATGTGTTTGTGTGTGTGTGTAAAAGGTGACTGGTAGTAGTTAACATGACACTTAATACCTGATAGTCACCATCCAACGAGGGGCAATTTAACTTTCTTCTCCCTACCACCATTCCCAAGTATCTGTTATTAACATTATCTTGAAAATTAAACTTCTTCCAGCTATAGCCTTTTAAAACCTTGTAACTTTGGAAATTCTAGAAGGGATGATTTATCTTTTTATATCCAAATCTCTGAAATTTTTATTTAAGTATATATACTAGAACCTTGTAAGCAATAGTAGTAGAGACATGAAAATTTGTTCGAACTATGTTGCATGATATATAAACAGATAAATTTCCTTTTATGTAAACATAGTTTTGAAATGTACATGAGATATTTCTATGGCCCTACTAAGGCAGACTACCATGATCCATTTTTCCCCCCAGATGCATATCATATGATTTATGTAAGCTCAGATATTGATTTGTTTAAAAAAAACAATAACTTGCATTATGGCTAGTTGGCATCAAGGTAAAAATAGTCACTTAAAGAATGTTCATTTTTCCTGATAATGATTGAGAACTTCTCTTGCTGTGTCTGTAATTATAAACTTTGTGAGATGCAGCAAGGGAAGTTATTTCTATACCAGGCAAAATTGTGGAATCTATAATTAAGGGTAGAATCACTGAACACTTTAGCAACCTAATTTATTGGGGAAAAGGTAAGATGGTTTCCATAAGAATAAAGTTTTTTTTTTTGCCCAGGGTCGCTCGGCTAGTAAGTGCTATGTGTCTGAGGCCGGATTTGAACTCAGGTCCTCCTGAATACAGGGCCTGTGCTCTATCCACCGTGCCACCTAACTGCCCCAGAATAAAGTTGATTTTAATTGAGTTTTGTGCTTATTCTTTTTTTAGTCCTGTCCGACTCTTCGTGACCCCATTTGGGGTTTTCTTGGCTGAGATACTAGAGTGGTTTGCTATTTTTTTCTCCAGCTCATTTTACAGATGAGGAAACTGAGGCAAAGAGAGTTAAGCGACTTGTCTAGGGTCACACAGTTAGTAAGTGTCTGAGGCCAGATTTGAACTCTGGAAGAGGAATTTTCCTGATTCAAGACACTGTGCTCTATCTGCCCCTTAACTGCTCATTAACTGCCCCTTAAGAGACTTCCTTGAGGGTAATATGGATAAAGGTGAATCATTTAGCGTGATACATTTGGATTGTCAAAAGACCTTTGACATAGTTGAGTAGAATTTAGGGAGAGCTATGCTGTCTTGTACTTAGAGACAAAAATCAAATTATATTTTATATCAATAATATGGGGAGTGACATATAGACAATAGCATTTCCCTCAGTAGTGAATGTTGGTGCCAAATGAATTTTTAGAGGGAATATGAAACGAAATCTCTAGGTTTTCAGATCATAACTTCTTTGTAAATTATCTCTCTCAGTAAACAAATAATAAACACTGAATGGGAGCTAATTTTCTTTTCAACATCATCTTTTCTCTATAAATGGAGTCAAAAAAAGGCATATAAAGGGCAGATTCTGGTTAGCTGATATCTGGATAGTCAAGGTTTTATTCTAGTGTTGATGGTAATAAAAAGATCTGTCTCCATTTTGAAGACTGTGTTCAGTGGAACAATTCCCTAGCTGATTGAAATTGTAATTGATATAGCATTTATTGAAATAGTAATTCATCTAGCATGCCCGATGTATGCCAGGCTCTGTGCTAAGCTCTGAGAATATGAAGAAAGAAGGGAAAAAACATGCAAACAGCTATATACAAACAAGATATATACAGGATAAATTGGGGATCATCTCAGAGAGAAAGTGTAAGATGAAAGAAGATTGGAAAGGTTTCTTGAAGAAGATGAGATTTTAGTTGAGACTGGGAGGAAGCCAGAGAAGCTGAGATAAGGAGGGGCTTCATTCTAGTCATGACTGACAGGACAAATTCTCAGAGTCAAGAGATGGAGTGTTGTATGGGAGGAACAACAAGTAAGCCAGTGTCACTGGAAGGGAGTAAGATGAAAGAAGACTGGAGAGGTAGGAAGGGGCCGGATTATGAAGGGCTTTGAAAACCAAACAGAGGATTTTACATTTGGTGCTGGAAGTAATAGGGAGAATTTTAGATTCCATGAGTTTGCCTTCAATAAACTGCAATTTATTGAATGGGGGGGAGGGAGGGATGAAATGACCTGCTCAGACCTGCATTTTATAAAATCAATTTAACAGCTTAGTGGAGGATAGATTGGGGTGGGGAGAGACTTGAGGCAGGGAAACCAACCAGCAGGATATTGTGCACTATTTGCAGGCATGAAGTGGTGAGGGCCAGCTCTAGGGTGATGGCAGTGTCAGAAAAGACAAGTATAGGAGAACGTTATGAAGATGAAATCAAAGGCCCTGACAACTTACTGGTCTTGGGGTGGTGGAGGAGAGAAAGAGTGAAGATTGAGGATGAAACCTAGGTTGTCACTCTTGTTAACTAGGATGGTAGTGCCCTTGATGGTAATAGGAAAGTTAGAAAGAAGTGGCACAGCGGATGGAACACTGGTTCCTGAGATAGGAGGACCTGAGTTCAAATTCGGCCTCAGATACTTACTAGCTGTGTGACTCAGGCAAGTCACTTAACCCTTACCACTTAACCCAAACCACTTAACCCACTTAACCCAGTTGCCTCCCCTCAAAAAAGCAAAAAAAAAATGAGGGTTTGAGGGAAAAGATTCAATTTTGGACATATTGAATTTAAGATGTCTATAGGAGCAGATAATGTTGAGCAAACAATAATGAAATCTAGGTGAAACATTCTTCCAAACAATTTTCCTGCCCCCTCCAAATAATAGTAGCTCTGTGTGTGTGTGTGTGTGTGTGGGATTTAATTCTCTACTTTACTTTGTGTGGTCACAACTTATGTCCCCTCAAAGCCACTCTTTATTATAAACAAGAACATTTCATCTTCTCAATAATAACGACTTTTCTCAATTTTGATTCATTTCTAGCAAATCAATCACCATCTAAGAACTGTACACATGCTTACCTCTCCCCATATCCCTTCCTGAGAGATGAGCACAATTCGACCTCCTATGACTCTGCAGTCAGTAAGTACTTCACTTTCCTGGAATGCTCAATTTAAAGAATAATTCCCAGTACTAATGTTAGATCAAAGAGATTGTGGTTCATTTTTTAAAAAATCATTTAATAGCCTGAAGTTAGGCATTTTCTCTCCCTATAAATAGATCACAAACTTAGAGATATACCTATGAAATGATATTTAACAGATTCTTGGGTCTTCTAGTAACTGCTGTGATAGAATTTCAGGATATGGAGTCAGAAGACCTTGGCTCAGATCCTAGTTCTGCAGCTTACTAGCCGAGTCACTTTGGACAAAATACTTTATCTTGATGAACCTCAGTTTCCTCATCTGTAAAATGGGAAGGGTTGGACTAAGGGATCTCTGAGGTCTCCTCCAGCTCGAAATCTAATAGTATTTTTTTGCTATTTTGTATTATCAAAATTCTTTTAAAATGTTTTGACAATAGGAAAAATGACTTCTCTTAAAAAAGAAATAAATTTTTAAGAATACCCTAAAACTCATCCCCAAATTAAGACAGCTCTTTTAATAAAAATGTCAATTTTTTGAATTTATTTTACAATTGCTTATTTGGCTACTCATAAAAATGATGTTTTTTTCTGTCTTATCTCTAAAAGATTGGTGCAAGCAGCATAACTTATCCAAGTTGATTCTCAGAATAATTAACTAGAAGATATACTTATGTAGCTTTCTTTGTGGCTACATAATCTCATTGAGTGAGTTTCAGAGAAAGTATAGAAACTTCCTAGGTCTCTTATACTGTCAGTCTGATTCAACCAATGCATAAATCAAGGCTGGTCAGCTTGACCAAGGGTAGGAGCCAGAATTCACCAATGTCATCAGTGAAGGCCACAATATTTTTATTTTCAAAATTTTAATGCCTAATTCATTTTTATACTGAGCAGACTTGACAAATGTTTATATTATCCATCCATTTATTCATTTGTATGTAAAATCGATTTTGTCTCCACACTATGCTATCATTTTTCTTTCAAAGGACATAGTACTTCACTTAATGGTACCATAAATACAATACTTAATGTCAATTCTTTGTTTTTTCCTCATGCTTGCTTCAAATACGGCACACAAAGTTCTGTAAAATCATAAGCCATCTGCCCTTGGCATAAATTAATGTCTGGATAGGCCAAAGTGTCAAAAGTTACTCATATAAGCAGGCTTTGGAGCCTGAATCACTTGGGTAATTGTGTAGGGGTCTGACCAGAAAATATGACACTTAGAAGGTACCCTACTCCAAGGCCACTATATTAAGAAGTCACATCATCTAAGTCAATGTGGAAGGATTTGTTAAAGTCCCACTTATTTGCCATGCACATTAGGCTTAATACAAAGATGATTGGACAGATGCCTCTTCTTGTCTCAGTATAAAACTAATACTTTCCATCCCGGAGCATCTAATATACCACCAGAAAGTAGCTTCAGGCTACTTTATGTGTGGCACATCTTACAAGGTTCCTTTATAAGGATTTCCAATCCCAGTCAACTCCATGCTTGCAGTCTAGTTCAGGGAGAACAACAGGGTTGTATCTAGGGAACAGGAATTATAAGGTTAATTCAATCACCAGCAAAGTAGGGATTCATGGAGCTGGCAAGTACCCTGTCATGGAAACCAGAGGACATTTTTTTTTTTTAAATTTGGACTCTCATCTTTCCTTTTTCTCTTTTCAATATTATTATTTTTACTCTTGAACAAAGAGGCATCTCTGTCCTGATCCATGCTTGCCAGAATAGTATTTGTTGTTTAGTCATTTCCAATTCTTTGTTGGAACCCCATTTGGGGCAAAGATACTGGAGTGGTTGGCTATTCCCTTTTCCAGCTCATTTTACAGATGAGAAAACTGAGGCAAACAGGGTTTAGTGATTTACCCAGGGTCATGCAGCTAGTAAGGGTCTGAGGCCAGATTTGAGTCCACAAGATGAGTCTTCTGACTCCAGGCCTGGCACCCTATCCATTTCACCACCTGGATGAATAGTATATCTATATATAAATTAGTTGATGGGAGAGTGGAGGCCTGGGAGCACAAGGCAGTGGATTTAGAGATGGAAGGGACCGTGAGGTCATCTAGTCCAGATCCCTCATTATAAAATACAAAGTATAAACTTGAGGAAACTGAGGCACAGGGAGCTTAAGTGACTTATGCCCCAGGCCATACAATCAGTCATCAATCATTTATCAAGTGTTATCAGGATTTCTGGCTCTAAATTATTCATGTTCCTCTTCCTCTAACTATAGCCTCATCAATCAACCCTAGTCCCTGCCCTGCCCTGCCCCATTTTTACCTTATTTGTCTTTGTTGCATTTTCTGGTGAGGCTTCTATGGCCAAGTGAAAAGCAGGGAAAATGCACCAGCCAAAGAACTTGCTTAATCACTCAGTTAGCATTTGTTGAGTGTCTCCTATGTCCAGCCATGGTATCTATTACTTCTATATCCAGGAATGGGGCTAGTCCACAAGTTCAGAGAGGATCTACTAGCCAACTATGAGTCAGAATGGTGAAGGTGGTGGTAACTGTCTAGGTAAATGATCAGAAAACAGTACTGACATTAGTTCAGGAAACTGGATTACCAAGATAATCACCTTAAATTATTCAGAGTTATGGAGAACACAAGGAAGTACAATTTTATTTTGGAAATCCCAAAAGCCGTAGCTGGTTCTCTCCTTATCTCAGTACATTTTGACAAAAAAAAAATAAAGAATACATTCTTGTAACAAAATCTTTTCTTTTACTTTCTCTGCTCTCAAACAATTTCACTACTCAATAATTTTTCTCTAAGTTGAATGTGGTTTAGCTTTGCTAGAAAAGACAAAGGGTAAAATTAAAGGAAGAATTAGCTGTTTAACTCTAGGTGAGGTGGAAGGGTAGAGACCATTCAGCTAGGCCATGCAGTGGATAGAGTGCCAGATGTGGAGTCAGAAGAACCTGAGTTCAAATACGGCTTCAGATACTTATTAGCTATGTGACCCTGGGCAAGTCACTTAACCCTGTATGCCTCAGTTTCCTCAACTGTAAAATGAGCTAGAGAAGGAAATAGCAAATCACTCCAGTATCTGTGCCAAGAAAACCCCAAATGGGTTTACAAAGAGTTAGACACGACTGAAATGACTCATCAGCAATTTTATCCCCACTCAACTAATCCTTAGCTTCCTCTCATCAAGTCTAATTCTTTCCTGCCTTCTCTAGTTTAGGTATTCAAGTTGTTGATCCCAGTACACACTGGATAGGAAATACTAGGAGTGATCCAGTGCTGCAGAAGCTTCCTAGTCCTATTTTCCTTCTAACCAAAGGTATTTAATCTGAAAACCTGAAATTTAAAAGGAAGTTACAACTGTAGACTGGAGAATTATTTTCACCTTCTCTTTTTGTTTAGTTTGATCTTTTTGTTTAGTTTTTCATTCATTTCTGACTCTTCATGACTCCATTTGGGGTTTTCTTAGTAAACATATCAGAATGGTTTGCCATTTCCTTCTCCAGTTCATCTTATACGTGAGGAAAGTGAGACAAACAGGATTAAGTGACTTTCCCAGGATCACACAACTGGTAAGTATCTGAGGCTGGATTTGAACTCAGGTCTTCCTGAGTCCAGGCTTCGTACTCTATCCACTGTGCCACCTAGCTACCTGATTAAATCATAGGAACAGACTAAAAGGAGAAAAATAGGAACAGACTAAAAGGAGGAAGAAGGTGATATATAAGTTTGGGAGCTCTGGTTATCTGCCTCATAACAGAATTCTGTTTTTTTTTTTTCTTTTCCCATCACTGTGGCCTTGGTATACATAAGCTATATATACATGCCCTTCAAATATATAGAGGATGATTCCCCACCCTACTGGGAGAGCACATGAAATTTCCTTACATAAGCTAATTAGAGCCTACTTCCATGAACGTGGATATGGTGTGAACTCTCTCACTAATGAAAGGAAGAATGGGGAAGAATAGGACAAATGCTTTCCTATTATTAAAAAAAAAAGACACCACTCGTTTGCCAGTCTTCCTTTTATAAGCAAACTCTAAAATAATGAAGGGTTGCAGCCCCAGAGAGTTGGCTATGCATGCTATTATTATTTTTATTATGATTATTAATATTATAATTAATAATTTGTTGAGGTCCACGTACAGGAGAGGTATTGTGTAGAGTTTACAGTAAGAATAGAAAGTCTCAATATTGGGGGAAAAAAAGTCTTTACCTAAAAGGAATAGTGGAGAGCATGAAAAACAAGGTAACATAATCCATGCATAATAATTATAGTGTAGATGGATAGTAAATACATGTCAGAAGAAATTGCACTGCAATTATACTTAGAATTATTATGTAGCTCCACGTATAATTACTATGTCATTTTTTGGATCTAATGACAAAACTATATTCCACATTTTTTATAATCAGACCCATCTCTGGCACACACGTAAGTAACTCCTTCATCACTTACAGCAACTTCATCAAATCCATATTCAAAACTCTCAGGAATGCTGGGAAGGGTGAAGAATATTTTGTTGTGACAACAGAACTCTACCTGAGAAATAATTGCATAGGCTGTCTTGATTCTTTTTGTCACTGCACACCCAGACATCTGACCTTATGTTTTGGTCGTGTGTGATTTGTTTTTCACTTTATCTATGAAGACCATATACATGCCATTTCAAAACTGTACTGTCTAATTGGAATTAAATATTGTTCTGTGACTCTTGTTACTCTTAAAGAATGTTACAATGTGAATAATCTTGCCCTGTATTACTTAACTACACAATCACTTTGTGAGTTTTATGTTCTCTTTGGAGAACATTCTGTATGGGCTGACTTATCATTGGCAAAGCAAAAGGGATTATTTGCAAAAATGAGAGTACATAAGCGTGGCAAATTATTTGCAGAATGCCAGTGTCCTCCCTAGTCTGTGCAAATAATATGCTTCAGTTCGCTAGTATTGAAACAGGCTAAAAATAACAGTATCCTACTCTATTCTGAAACAATTATTTTGGAATGAATCATAGCA